AGTATAGAGACAGAAATATAACTGTCGACAGTTGAGAGGACTACCTAATAATTTTAGATAATTTGGAGTTTTGCCAATGGTACCTAACCAATCAAGTGCATTGGTGTGAAGTTTGAATGGATTGTTTTTGCAGTGTGTTAAACATGTTTTTTAAAATTTATCTGTATCATTGAAATAAATAATACATAAGTTGTAAAGTTCTGTTGTTTTTTTAACAATAAATTAATTTTTCTAAGTAAAATTGTAATTCATATTATTCTAAATGGCATAAATGAATAAAATTATTATTCAAACATCATTCTACTACAATAAATTCTTAGATTCATCAATGAGGATCCTAAACTTTTATATACTACTTTCTACTGCATCAATGTACAGAATACATAACAATTTAGAATGAAAATAAAAAAGTCTTACCTTTCCTTTGTTTTGCTTCTTGTTAATTTTTTGAGCAAAGAAGTTTTCAAAATGATTCCACAATGACTCTTTGGAAAGTGGATTATAAAATTTGAGAACGATACTTCTTCCTAGAATAATATAAGAATTTAATTATTAATTAAGAATAGAAGAGATCGAGATGATTCATTAACTAATTAATTAATTTAATATTAAAATAAATTTCTAATACAAAACATTTCTTGTTTCATTCAAAAGAATATAAGACAATATACAAGCGAATATCATTTGTAATCTGATAATTTAATTCGATGCTAAGTGGAAATAGCCTTAAATATTTTAAATGACAATTTACGACTTTTACATTTAATATTCTATCGACAATTATTCAATTTTGAAAGCTTATAAATAAAAAAACGTTACATTGCCTGCGTTATTCGGGTTTATGTAATTAAAACTCTCGAAATGGAGGGAAAAATAACTAGCAATTTCCAGAAAACTTTCTATTTCAAGATGGCGTCGGCAATACGAAATCGAACGAATTCGGATCGGTGGAACGTGCGATAAATGCGTCACACGTTATGTCATAGGCTCTACGTCAGAATATTAACTAATTGCAAAGGTTTTCTTTAAAACGCTAAATAGTCCTCTTTATTTGTAAAATATCGCTAAGATATTTGTAATAATAAATNGTTACTTTTCATTAAAATTGCAATTCGTATTATTTTGAATGCATGAATGAATAACATTACATTTCAAGCATCATTCTACTACAATAAATTCTTAGATTCATCAATGAGGATTCTAAAATTTTATATGCCATTTTCTACTGAAACAATGTTTATAATACATAACAATTTAGAATGAAAATAAAACAGTCTTACCTTTCTTTTGTTTTGCTTCTTGTTAATTTTTTGAGCACAAGAAGTTTTTAATTAAATGATTCCATGTTTCTTTGAAAAGTGGATTATAAAATTTCAGAATGATACTTCTTCCTAGAATAATTTAAGAATTTAATTATTAAGAATAGAAGAGATCGAGATGATTCATTAACTAATTAATTAATTTAATATTAAAATAAATTTTTAATACAAAACATTTATTGTTTCATTCAAAAGAATATAAGACAATATACAAGCGAATATCATTTATAATCTGATAATTTAATTCGATGCTAAGTGGAAACAACCTTAAATATTTTAAGTAAAATTTAAGACTTTTACTTAATATTCTATCGACAATTATTCAATTTTGATCGCTTATAAATAAAAAAACGTTACATTGCCTGCGTTATTCGGGTTTTTGTAATTAAACATTTACGAAAAATCTCGAAATGGATTGAAAAATAACTCGCAATTTCCATAAAACTTTCTATTTCAAGATGGCGTCGGCAATACGAAATCGAACGAATTCGAATCGGTGGAACGTGCGATAAATGAGTCACACGTTACGTCATAAGTTCTACGTCAGAATATTAACTAATTGCAAATGTTATCTTTAAAATGCTAAAATAGTCCTCTTTTTTGTAAAATATCGCTAAGATATTTGTAATAATAAATAAAATTATAAAAATGCATTCCGTAACCTTACAGGTTACAGGCCGCAAATATAGGTTTAAAGCGTATCTAATTTAATCTATTTAATTTTTATATAAATCGAAAAATATTATGTTACCTACGTTACGCGAGTTTTCATTATTAAAATTTGTACGAAAAATGTTAAAATGGAGGGAAAAAGAACTCGCAATTTCCGGATAGCATAAATTTCCAAGATGGCGTCGGCAACAATACGAAATGGAACGAATTCGAAATTGTCGTTGCAATGCGTCACGCGTTACGTCACGAGTTTTACGTCATAGATGTAATATTTCGAGTATTTTCATTGCATTTTTTTT